CACAGTGGTGACGTGGCATAGTTGTATCAAGTATAATGATATCTGACAATGATTAAAATCACTATAATAAAAAACACTTTGATACAAATCTTTAGATAGTGTTTAATTTTAAAAAATTGGTGGATTATTCTAAAAGATACATGATCTGCTATTTTCTTATTAATACCCTGAAGGAAAAGTGATAATTGTAAAATATAAAATCGAGAATTTTAATACAAAAATAGCATTCGGTAGCCGTTTTCACCATAGGAAAAATATTTATATTGATTTGTTCATTATTGAAAAAGTTACGGCAGTTTTTAGTAAAAAATTTTAAAAAATTTCGAAAATAAGCGATTTTTAAATTTGTAATGTTTTTGGAGATTTCTCCCATTTACAGGGAACGAGAAAAATTTTTTCAATTTTTGAGGGTAATTTTTAAATATAAATTAAATTTGTCATTATATTCCTGGTAATATTTATATTAATTTAATTTTTTTTAGTTAGCAGGTGGTATAGAGGAATTTGTAATTGTGTTGTGAACGGGTAACAAATGTATGTAATTAATTTACTTGATTAGGGAGAATCATTTACAATACAATTTTTTGAATTACGTAGATTGGAGATGTGTTTTATGAAACATCCGCCTTCAACAGTTAAATGTACCATATTAAATATCTATGGCAGTATTAATTCTATAGTTCAAAAACTAACAATTTATTTTTATTTAGATTTCAAGTTATCAAATGCACATATAAAAAATAAACGCGAACAAAACAACGAAACTTATAGATGTACTGTACATTCAAAACTTGGCAATAATAACTATGTAATATCATGAAAAACAATTCTAAACATACTAAATAATCAAAAAAATTAATTATATTTTCTAAGTTGGCTTAAATTGTAATAAGGAATAATTTTTTGCAATTTTTATTATGTGTTAAAAAAAAATATATTTTACTTAGTTTGTTTAAGGTAATGTTGTGAAATTAAAATAGTTTTCTAAATACTAGATTGTTCTTTTTTTACAATTAGTTTTGAGATGTTTAAAAATAAAAAGTGATATTGGTCCTTTAGATTAATAAAATTAGTTGAATTTAGATTTGCATGTGGCCTCAGTATGTAGTAATTCAATATTAAGTTACTAACTTGGGTATGTGTAGTGCGTAAGTGTGGCTAAAGTTAAGATATTTGGAAATTTGGTCAATTCGTTAAACGTAAAAATAATTTCACGAAACTTAAGAGAATAGTGATAATGTAATGTAAATAATTTTATTTTTAAAATTTTTAACTTTATAATGCTGTAACTTATTGAAAAGTGTATGGATCAACACAATTTTTTTATGAGAAATAATATTTTTTTATAAATCCTTTTTCATTCGACATACTTTATCTTAATGAGGATATTAATAAGGAACTATCAGATCATGTAACTTTTGAAATAATCCACCAATTTTTTAAAATTAAACACTATCTAAAGATTTGTATCGAAGTGTTTTTTTTTATAATGATTTTAATCACTGTCAGATATCATTATACTTTATCCAACTATGCCACGTTACCACTGTGCCGCGACCCCCCTGTGCTGGGTTTTTTTTCTATAATTATCTTTAGTTACACATTATGCTTGAATTTTTAACTATGTAATACTTTTTAAGTTCATTCCTTATGCCTTGTAAGGGTGTCAACTTTGTTTTATTAAATGGTAACACATATTTTTAATTTAATAGTAAATGACATTTAAATTTTTAATGTAACTTTATTTGTTTATTAGGTATAAACATTTAAAGTTTTAAATTTTTGAGTTAATATGCAGGAACAAAAATAATAAATTATTATACAGAAAAAATTCTTACACAAAATTTATATTTCCAAGAAATGATACACTAAAATTTTTTATCAACTTTACATAAATCAAGTGTTTCAACTTGTGTTTCAATTATATGACTTGTTTTTTTTCTTTCGTCGTATTGAAATCCTATATTGTGATAAAATGTATGTATATCACATACCGACAAATCAACATAATAATACCGATACATAAAATCAAAAATATCAATTTGACCTGAATAATTATACTTCGCACGAAAATCATTCGGAATAATACTTGCACAATCTTTTAGTAACTGTTCTAAAACATGCAATATTTCATCAAGAATTTCCAAAGTAATTTGATTAATATATCTCAGATTCCTTTCAACATTATTTTTAGTTTCTATAAATTTCCTGTAAGTACTATTCATTTCATTTTCAAAAATTACTATCGAACTTTGAACAAAAGTTGGAAGATCATCGCCTTCATAATTAATGGATAACAATTTTAGTGAGCTTTTTATTTTTGAAAATGCCATATCTACTTTAATAAGATACTCTCCAAAATCTAAAAATGCAACTTTATTTTGTATTATACCTTTAAACATAAAAATAATTTGACGAATCAAAAAAGAATAGTAATAATGTGCTATCAAATAAGCTGCTCGTATTTTTTCATTAACATTTTTTTTGGTTACGCATTGTTCTCCTGATTCAGCATCAACAGTATTAGCATAAATAGTAACTACATTTTGATACTTATCCTCAATTTTGATATCAGACTTTAATAAATATTGTTTCCAATACTTTTGATTGAACAAGTGATTCATGTTATCGACAAAGGAATCGTTCGATTGTCCATTTTTAATGTTACTGAATATAAATAAACAACAAAATATAAAAGTTGTAATCATCTTTTAATTTTTAAACTTTTTTGATAACTTGTTAGTATGTGTTAAATAATGTTTTGTAAAAACTTTGTAATTTATATAAAATCGAATGTTTTAATAAAGTATTTGGAATTTTGTGAACGCTTTATAAAAGTCATTTTTAGAAAATCGAAATCATAATTTATTGAAGTTTATATTTTTATTTAATTTTAGCTATATGAGTGTAATTCATTTTAACAGTCTAATAAATCGTGTTAAATTTCTTTGTAAAATTACTTTAATTTATATTCATTATTTGACATAGATGTATAAATAATAGAAATTATTCAAAATGAATATGTGAAATATTTTCAAATCAGTTGACTAATTCTAAATTAAGGTTTTAATTATTTTTAAAATATCATAGAATTCAATTTTTAGTTATTTTATTATTACACTTATATATGTATAATATACATTGTATATATAAATATATACTTTTATAACCATTTTTTGAATTTTTTCTTTATGATTTAACATATAAANCAGATAACATACTAATTTGTATTGAAAACTTGTATGTTAAAACTTTGCAATTAAAATATCAACGATTGATTCAATGATTATTTCACTAATAAAGTAGTTCGAATTATGTGAACATTTTATAATAGTCATTTTTTTTATATAGATTTTATTTAATCAATTACAATTTATTTGAAATCTATACATTTTAGCTTCGATGCGAAGCTGAGAAGGTATTAGTTTTACTATGATGTGTTTTTTTTTTTTTTTTTTTTTTTTTTTTTTTTTTTTTTTTCCCTTTTTTTTTTTTTTTTT